CCGGCGATGGAAGGCGCCCATCCGGCGAATCTGGCTCTCTGTTTGCATCTCAATTCGAGGTCAGCAGGGAAGGTACGATCAGCCGCCAAACTCGTCTCCGCCATCGTTGCCTACCCACTCCCCATTTGTTCTATTGATGAGGTTCAGAGACTCAAGGGCTACCAGCCGACGTTTGACAGTAGGCGCATCGCACGGTGATGTAGCGTTGTTTTAGATGAGCTTAACGCGTATTTTGATGATCGTCGTGACCACTGTATTGACGAGGGTATAAATGATGGCAATGCTTCGGAATGTGTGAAGAAGCACATCTGGAAAAGATTGCTTCAAGTTGACCAGCTTATCGCGTCCGGCAGGGGCGGTCGTCAAGCGTCTGTTGCGAAGACCTCGGTCGCTACCAAGAAGTCCGGTGTCAAAGGAACGGCTAATAGACCCAAGAAGTTGATGAAATCCATTGGATACACCAGCGGTCGGTATGTCATGTTATTAGACACACGTGAGATTGGAGGCATCAGGTCAAGCACTGACTTGGAGTCACTATCCCAGACGGAGTCATGGTGTGTACCCCAATGGCTAGCCATAGGAGATATGATGTGGGCTTATAGCTGCCAGCAGATCTTCCGATCGGAGTATCTACAGGGGCCGAGCGTTGAAGAGAGACGTCTGCAACACGGGCGTGTGGAGCACGTCCAGAAATACTTTCCTACTGGCGTAGTTATCGAGCGCAAAACTTACAGAGATCTATCTGCTAGTATTAGAGATACCAGATATGAGGATCAAATTAAACGATTGAAACTGTTTCGTGAAGGAGGTGATATTTTAACACCAATTACATTCGTGACCAGTGACGGGTCTGAAAAGGATATTGAAACCGGATTTGTAATATTGCTTGTGGAAAAGAGCAAGTTAACATGGACACACCCAGGACAAGAAAGACGGGGGGATGGCGTTCACGAAGTAAGCATAAAGGCACTAGAAACGGCAATCCTAAAGTACCAATTAAGAGACCAATTTCTCGTCGTTTTGAGTCAAAGCACTAAGCATACAGCCGACTTATTACGCTGTCTCGAGAAGAAGACAAAACAGTCTTTTACCATCCCGTGTTCTGTTGGAGAATTCAGTAGTGGTGGTGAAGACATGGTTGCATTGAACCAGAAATGGAGTCAAGAGGGCTTGGAGGATGTTGTGGATGAAGACTTGGATATTGTTGAGGATCGGCAAAATTCAGGGCAAGGATTGGACGGGGTAAGGAGTGCGGTTCCACGGTTAAGTTTGAATACGTCCTTGAAGGTTTACAAGAAGTCAGCACATATCTATGTTGGTCAAGTATATAGAAAGCAGCTCCGCTTAGTAAGTCATAAGAGTTAAGCTGTATGTTGTGTAGATTCCCAATTTGCAACCGGCTGATGTTGCATACGTCATGTCTGTGTGTCCGAACTGGCACAGTCTTGTCTTGAGGATGGAAAGCGACAGCGATGGCAACTTCATAGTCCGGAAAGGCAGAACGCCAGGAATCAGTAAGAAAGGTTTGTTAGCTATCCAAAATTACTTTACACTACCTGATGCGCCCGTATTGCCTGAAGCGCCCGTATTGCCTGAAGCGCCCGTATTGTCTAAAGCGCCCGTATTGTCTAAAGCGCCCGTATTGTCTAAAGCGCCCGCATTGTCTA